AATTTATTTCTCACACCTCTAAAGGCTGGGAATTCCCAGAACCAGGAGCCAGCATGGCTGGGTTCTATGAAGATGCTCCTTTCAGCTTGCAAACAACTGTCTTCTTGCTGTGTTTTTGTGTGGTGGAGAGGGAATTCTAATCTCCTTTCCTCTTCTTAGACAAACATTAATCCCATCATGGGGAGGGGGGGCACGCTCATGACCTAATCCAAACCTAATTGTGTCCCCAAGATTTTAGCTCCAAATAGCATCACATGGTTGGGGGGAGGGTAAGGTTTCAACATGTGAATTCTGGGGGGACACAAACATTCACTTCATTACAGAGCATATCTTTTTTTATTAGTAGCATCATTGAGTCAGACTCTTAGTACACTGGGTCTAAAGGTTAATTGATTTTCCCTAGTAATTTAAACTCCTAAGTCAAGTAAATGTTTCTAAATCTGACTTTGTCCTCCCCTGTGTAAAATCCTTCAGTGATTCCCTCATTTTTCTTAGGCTAACGGTCAAAGCAGTGATCATGTGACTAGTCTGGGCCACCATGTTACCCAAGCCGGCCAATCCGAGCCCTTTACTGGCTTTTTCTGCGGGAGCAGCTGGGAATCTTTTTTGCGATGGGCTCACCCTAAGGGAGACTCAGAGAAATTCCTCTGGAAGTTCTGTCCTTTCTATGAGAGGACTTCTGCTAGCCCAGTGGTGCTTAACTCCAGCTGTACGTTAAGCAAGATTCTCCCCCCAAAAATGTACGCAAGCCCATGAAAAAAGCCAGACACAGAAGGCTGCATGTTCTATGATTCCGTTTATATGAATGTCTCCCACAGACAAATCTCTAGAGAAAGAAAGTACATTGCTGGTTGCTGGGGGTAGGGGGAAGGAGGAATGGGGAGTGACTGCTGAAGGGTCTGCGGCTTCCTTACGGAATGATGAAAATATTCTGGAACTATGTATCAGTGATAGTCACAGAACTTTAGAAAGGTACATTTTGTGGTATGTGAAGTGTATCTCCGTGGAAAAAAACGTACCCAGGCCCAAACTCCCCCAGACCAGTTACCTAAAAAATTCTGTGGGCGGGGTCCAGGAGTTTACAACTGTAAAGCTCTCCAGGTAATTCTAATGAGCAGTCAGCCCAGAGAACCCGCAGGGAGGGTAACACACCTGCTCCCTTTCTTTCCCACTCGCTCTTCCCAGGACAAGTAGAGAGACTGGCGGGGGGTGGGGAGTGCTTCGCCTGCTTGGTCGAATTGGGTCTCTGTCTCTCTCCCAGTCTCACCCCTCTCTTTGATCAGTTCAGGAGAGAAGATCTCCAGAAGCCCCGTTATGGCCATCGACCTTGGTCTCTGCTATGAACTGAATGGCATCTCCCCCAAATTCATACATTAAAGCCTTAATCCTCAGTGTGACTGTCTTCGGGCATATGGGGAGATAATTAAGGTAAATGAAATCATAAGGGTGGGGCCCTTATGGGGTTTTCCATAAGAAGAGTAAGAGACACCGGGTATGAGCTCACACACAGAAAAGGCCGTGTGAGGGCACAGAAGACAGCCAGGAGAGACGCCTCGGGAAAACCCAAACCTGCTGACGCCTTGACTGTGGCCTTCCAGCCTCCAAAACTGGAGAAAATAAATTTCTTTTGTCTAAGCCCCCTGTCTCTCTTATTTTGTTATGGCACTAATAGAGTCTCCAATTCAGCGGTTTCTGTCCAAAGCAAGAGATAGGCAATCGCACCTGTAAATGATGATAAGCTTGTCTCATCTTTTCTAATTGTTATGCCTCCTGTTCTTTTTTTTTTTTTTAATCGTGTTTGCATTATCTAGAAACTCCAGAAAAATGCCGACTATCAGGAATAACAGGCGTCCTTGTCCTGTCTTAAGTTAATGAGAATGCCTCTAGTATTTCATGGATAAATATGATGTCTGTTTCTTATTTTTTATTTCTGTCTCAGTCCATCCAGGCTGCTAGATAACAAAGTACCTCAGACTGGGTAGGTTATAATTCACAGAATTTTATTTCTCACAGTTCTGGAGGGTGGGTGTCCTAAATCAGGGCCTGGTTGGATGAGGACCCTCTTCTGGATTATAGACTTCTTGCTGTGTCCTCACAGGGTGGAAGGGGCTAGAGATCTCTCTGGAGCCCTCTTTTATAAGGCACGAATCCCATTCGTGAGGGCTCCACCTCCCGCCCTCATCCACTCTCAAAACCCCACCTGCTAATACCATCACATGAGGGGGGTCAGCATTGCAACACATGAATTTGAGGAGGACACAGATATTGAAACCATAGCAGACACATTTCTTTAACTTAGTAAGTCTTGACACGCTGTCTTGTTCCTGCCCACCTGTTAAGACCGTTCTGTTGCTTCCTCTGCCCACTCACTATGCTTTCAACAAAATTCACTACAGACTGTTTTCTGGACTTGCCACACTCACTGATGACTCCATACCTGTGTATATCCTCTTCTTCGCCCAGGAACCTCCTCCCCAGCCTTCAATGCCCGGCAACTTAGAGAGAACCGGATAAAACTATAGTTCCTCTTGAGACCCAGGATGTAAGGGAGAAAATTCCTGCTTCTCTCCACCTTTGGGAGAATATTGGAGGAAACAATCTCACCACTGTTCTCCTCTGCTTTGATCGCTTCCTCCGGGGGAGACGGCCAGTTTGACAGCACTGCTCACCTCAGCGGGGAGGTGCGGGTGTGGGGGATGGTAACTCGTCTTAAAGGCAGGGCCCCAGGCTCCTCCCTTCTTTCATTTCCTGAATTTGAATGTGATACTCTTATATGGTTAGCTCTCCGTGACATGGCCACCCTCCTGAGGAAGAGGAGAGTGGGGATCTGTCATTCTTTCATTCCAAACACCTCCATGGTGGCAGGGAGGGTAGGTCCAGGGACCCTTGCCCTGTGGGCCCTGTCGGTTCAGTTCAGTGGCAAGAGAGGAGGACTACATCTCCCTTAGGCCTAGGGTTAAGCCATGGTCAAATCCAGTTTTGACTGGAGCTTTGCGTGAAGGTTGGTTTTTGGTTTCCTCTCTGGCTAGAGATTCTTGGACATATATCCCACTGGTGTGCATCCTGGGGAGGGGCAGGGTGAATGACCCTCTTACAGACTTACTTGGGGATCTCATGAAAAATTTGCCAGATAAAAAGTGAACTGATTTATGTACCCCAGCCTTTCCCTCCTCTAGTAATGGCTGCTGTTGATTGAGTACCTTTAATGAGCCAGACAATATGATCTCATCGCTTCCACCCAACATTCTACCAAATATGTATCATTATTTCCGTTATAAAAGAAGAAATCCTGTATACTGGTACCATACTATCTTAAAGCAAACCTTAAAAAAGTAACAGACCCTGCTCCTCACAAAATCTGGCCTGAGTTTCTAGTTAGTCTTCATTCTGGCTAGCTCCTTAATGTGCCTCTGTATTGGTCCTATGCCTTCCTGATCTTTCCGAAACATGCAGTCTCCTACCTTAGTCCCCACAGTCATTCGATCACAAATATTTGTTGAGCACCTACTGTGTGCCGGGTACTGAACTAGGTGCTGGGGACATGGTGAGTGATCAAGGTGGACACAGTCTCTGACCTTAACGAGTTTTCCTTTACCAGGTCAACACACTTGAATAAGAACAGTGAGTGCTACAAAGGAGAACTTCAGACTGATGGGTGTGAGACAGAGGGAGGTAAACTAATTTGGGGAACCAGGCCGGATTTCCTGACAAAGTGATTAATTTAAGTGAAGGTCTCTGTGTGCTCGCTCAGGCTGCCTTTTGGGCTGGAATGCTTTTCCCACTGATTTTCTCTGGCCCCCGGTCCATTATTCAACATCCAGATGCAGCAAAATTTCCAGAAGTCTGTCCTTGATTTTTTTGTTAAAATATAAAATAAGAGACTAGGAAGTCAACAAACAAAACCCAAAAACCTTTAGAAATATTTCATCGCAGGGGTAGAAACTGTTCATTGCCTATCAATATCTTTTCCCCTCCTCTTCCTTGGTAATAGCAACCTAAGTTTTAGCTGAGCTGTTGCCCACCCAGAGTAACTTCTGCAGCTAGGCTTGGCTATGGAATGCAAGTGGGTGCTACCACAAGATATGTCCTTAAAAGGAGGGAGTGAGCTCCTTTTGCCCTCCTTCCCATCCTAATGCTCAGTGACTATGAAGACTGGAGATCCACGCTGGACCATGCTGACGAGGGCTACCTCCTGGGGATGATGGAAAGGAAGCTGGAAGTAGTGTGGGTCCCAGATGCTCAGAGAAACACTGGATTAGTTTCCTGGGGCTGCCATAACAAATCACCACTATCCATGTGGCTAAAAACAGCAGAAATTTATTCTTTCACAGTTCTGGGGTCTATGTTTTCTCTGAAGACTCTAGAGAAGGATCTTTCCTGCCTCTTCCAGCTTTTAGAGCCCCAGCTGTCCTTGGCTGGTGGCAGCATTGCGTCACTCTCTGCCCCCTTGTCACATGGCCTTTTGCTCTGCGTTTCCTGTGTCCTCTCCTCTTAATACCTTTTTAAAAGATTTATTTATTTATTTTAGAGAGAGAGGGGGCGGGGAAGGGGCAGAGGGAGAGAATCTTCAGGCAGACTCTCCGCTGAGTGTGGAGCCCCACGTGAGCTGGATCTCAGGACCCTGAGACTGTGACCTGAGCCAAAACCGAGAGGCGGACACTTAACTGACTGAGCCACCCAGGTGCCCCTCCTCTCCTCTTATTATAAAGACACCAGTCATTGAATATGGCGCTTACCCTAAATCAAGGATGATTTCCTCTTTAGATCCTTAACTGATTACATCCACAAAGACCCTATTTCCAAACAAGGTCATATTCTGAGGTTCCATATGGACATGAATTTTGGGAAGACACTATTCAACTCACTATACCCACTATACAAGTCCTAAAACGCCTTTTCAAGGGGAGAGAAAAAAAACCTGTTTTCTCTTCTTTATGCCATTATTATTTTGGATCGTTGAACCCATACCCTAACCACGAGAGTCATTCTGCAGGGCTTACCTTCTGCAGGCTGCTGGAGACTTCTCTTGGGTGACTGCTTGTCCCAGTCACAACAGGGGCGAGAGGAGGATGGGATTCTCCCCCAGTGACCGTATTATTAGACCACGAACAAACACTTGACCCAAGCTAAGCCAGTAGCATCCTTTCTTCAGGGGACTCAGGACAGTATCTGAACTTGTCTCTTGACTGGAGGAGGTCTAAGTGTCTGAATTGTGGGCTGGTTAGCTTCTGTTTATCACGCAGAGAGAGAAATAGAGAAAACTGGTCTCTAAATGAAAAAAATACAAAAACAACAGAAGTTCAAAGAGAGGAAGAGATATGAGTCTGGCAGGAAGTCTAAATGGTTTTCAGTCCTTCTTGGTTCCAGGGCTGTAGGAGGGTGCCTGGCTGCATCTGTGCCCCCCAGGTTAGAGACAAACCGAGCAACAGGTCCTGAGAACGTAGCATGGTCCAGACCACACTACATCAGCTGCTATATTGGTCAAAGCACTCTACCCTAGTTTCCACAGCATTTCGGTGCCCCTTTTTTTTTTTTTTTTAAGACTTTATATATTTATTTGACAGACAGAGATCACAAGCAGGCAGAGAGGCGGGCAGAGAGAGAGGAGGAAGCAGGCTCCCCGCTGAGCAGAGAGCTCGATTCGGGGCTCTATCTCAGGACCCTGGGATCATGACCTGAGCCGAAGGCAGAGGCTTTAACCCACTGAGACACACAGGCACCCCAGCATTTCAGTGCTTTAACCCAAATTCATTTCTTGCCTCCCTTTGAAGTCTTAAGCAGTCTGGCAGCTCCTTCTCTTATGCCTACGTCATCCGGAAGAGGTGGCCTGCAAGCTTACTGGAGTAGAGGAAGAAAGAGAGAGAGGAGATGTAGCCACCTTTTTTTTTTTATTGTTTATTTTATAATTATGTAATATATCTGCAGCGTTTCAAAATCCAATCTACAAAATATATTTAGATAAATTTAATTTGTTGCCCTGTTCCCGCTACCCTGTTCCCTCCTTTCCACTAAAGTTAACAATGAAAAAGTTATGTTTATTTTCCTTTTAAAAACGGAAGCAAATATATGCGTGTAATTTCCTCTCCCTCTTGATTCGGTGCCATACAACTTATCTCCAGCTTGCTTTTCTATTTGTCTGGTTTTCTTTTTTTTTATTGTGGTGAGAGATACATAACATGAAACTCACCCTCGTAGCCATTATTGGGTGTACTGTCCAGTGTCATTGAGTACAATCACATTATCATGCAACCATCACCACCATCATCTCTAGAACTTTCTTCATTTACCCAAACTGAAATTCCATACCCCTTACCCAATAACTCCTCATCTCCCCCTCCTCCCCGAGCCTTGGCAACCAAGTGTTGACCATTTTATGTACTTCATATAAGTGGAATCAGACAATATTTGTCCCTTTGTGACCGGCTTATTTCACTTCATGTGAGCATAATGTCTTAGAGTAGTTAGAGTCACTCATAACTGCCTCAGTCCAAAAGTGATGCGTGTCACAATCCATTGGTTAGGTCCAGTCTCATGGCCCCAAATGGACTGCAAGGGAGGTTGGGGAATGTGGAGGAACACATGGAATATTTGGTGAGTACCAGGTTCCATTTAACACACTCATGTCACATGAGAAACTCTCTTTTTTGCTGAAGCTAGCTTGAATTGGTTGCTGTCCTTACACCCAAGGGATTCAAATCATATCCATTACATATATGCATCTCAACATCTGATAAGTGGAAGAAGTTCATAACTGCAGATTCTTTATTACTAATTGGTAACATTTTGGGACTGCTTTTCAATATTAGAGTTATGGAATCTTGGTGTTAAAAGAACCCTGAGTCCAGCTAAGGCAATCTTCTAACCTAGCTTTCTGTAGACTATGTATCTCCTTCAACCATCATGTATTAGACAAGTGCACTGAGCACTTATGATGATGCATCAGGAACTGTGAGGACCATCGGGGACACAACACAGGCTAACATTTGGTCCCATTCTAGTTCATGGAAAACAGTGCTGTTGATTCTAGTTACTTGTTTGACCTATGACCTAAATGTTTATTATTAGGTTGTGCTCACAAGGGAAATTTATGAGTATACCATGAGTATATTTGAGTCATATAATTTCACTTCCTCTTACTTTCTCAACACTTTTGCTGTTGGTATTACTGTATCAAGATTTCCCCCCATTTTTTTCTCCTTTGTAATTCTCTTTTTTGTAAAGAATAATAAGGATGTCACATTTTACAAATTTTTGTGACTACTTTTGCCATCTATCTAGGAATGACTCAAACATTTTAAGCACAGAATAACTTTCCAAAATTGGTCCTTTAGGACCCAGAGCCTATGATTTGACATTATTGCACAGCACAAACAATCAGTACAGATGACAGGGATATGCAGATTTTTTTTATGAATGTGGAATTAGGTACGGAGAAAGAACCAGTGCTGCATTGTAATCAAGGCACCTAAGTTGTAGGGCTTGGTCCTTCCACAAATTAACTGTAGCACTTTGGAGAAAAGTCTCTCTCTCTCTCTCTTTTTTAAGATTTATTTATTTATTTATTTGACAGAGAGAGAGAGAGAGAGAGAGCCGGGGGAGTGGCAGACAGAGGGAGAGGGAGAAGCAGGCTCCCTGCTGAGCAGAGAGCCAGCTGTGGTGCTTAATCCCAGGACCCTGGGATCATGACCTGAGCCGAAGGCAGACACCCAGCTGACTGAGACACCCAGACGCCCCACTTTGGGGAAATGTCTTAAACTCCCTAGATCTTAGCCCTTCATCTGTAAAACAATGCCATCAAACTACCTGAAAATTCCTTTTTTCCCTTAAGTTCTCTGTTTTTATGATTCTGCAGAGAACCAGAAGGAAGAGAGAGTCAAACATCTGGCATGATTTAGAAACTGTTTGAAGAGAGAAAAAAGAAAGTGAGGATACAGGAAAACTCCACAGAGAAAGAAGGCAATATAAAATAGTTCGGAAGAGCAGAAAGTGAAGAAGTAAAGTAACACAAGTTAAAAAGGAGAAGTGGAAGATAAAAAAAAATTGGGTTTTAAGCTGCTTTAAGCTGTCATCAGCTTGTGAAAACCACACATAGTAGTTATTGAGAGAATAGATGCTTTTAAGGAGAAGGTGGACAAAGAATGTTATGGGGTAGAATGAAACAATGTGGGGTCACCCATGAATGAATCATTCAATTTTGTTGGTTCTCCTCCAGACTAAGAAAGAATGATTACATTTCATGATTTTCTCCAGCCTCACAACAAAGCATGGCACAGTCGAGGAGAATAATGCTTAGGTCACAGTCACGTGACTCACATGACAATGGGCCCCTATTGTAGGGTGTTGCGTGAGTGGCTTACTCTGGTTCTCTTCGTCAGTGGCCATACTGAACAAACAGAGACAGCAGCTCCTAAACAAACCATTGCTTGGTTCAGAGGGAAGGAAGGATACTTCCATTTCAGGCCCTTCCCACACCATCCTCTCTCTTCTTCTCTCTAGTTCCAGTTGTCTTGCTGCTAGGGTCAAAGGAAGGATGCACCTGTCTTTAGCTCCCTCTCTACCTTCTTAGGGCCTATGAGACCTTGGCAAGGTCTCATGTGCTCTGCCTCTCATCTACCATATCCCTTAATAGGGATGGTTGTGTACATGACATTAAGTAGACTGATGGAGCGATCACAGAGTCTTACGCTGGATAGAAGCTCAAAATATCCATTTTGTTATGTTTTTTCTTCTATAGACATTCTTCTCCTTTCATTCTAAAGAAGAGATAAATCGTTTAGAGCAGACCATCCCATTTTGGAAGAAGTTTCCTAGGAAAAACACTGATATCTGCTTTAGGGATAGGAATGTGAGCTTTTTGTAATGGAAAAGTCACATAAGACATTATAGACAGATTCTATCTATCTATAGACAATAAGTTACAAGTCACAGAATCATGAATCTTAGAAAAGGGAAGAACTCCTAGAGTTTATTCAGAGAGAGAGATGCTGGGTCCTTTCACCAGTAAACACAGCATTGTCTCCCTTTTTGCCTGGAGAGACATGGCCCTTGGTGGCTTTGAGTATATTTACCCCTGGATACCAATGTCCTGTTCTTAAAATGACTGTTGTGGGTTGAATTATATCCCCTCAAAAGATATATTCAAGTCCTGACCCCTGGTACATGTGAATATGACCTTATTTGGAAGTAGGGTCTTGGAAGATGTAATCAAGTTAAGGTCATACTGAAGGCCTAATCCAATGGCTTGTGGCCTGATAAGAAGAGGAAAATTTGGACACAGACGCATGGGGACAATGGAGACAGAAAGTGGAATGATGCATCTTACAAACCAAGAAACACCGAGGTTGCCAGCAACCACCAGAAGCTAAAAGAGGCAGGGAGGGATTCCCATCTAGAGACTTCAGAGGGAGGGTGGCCTTGCCAACAACTTGATTTTGAACCTCTAGCCTTCTGAAGTTGTAAGAGAATAACGTTGCATTGTTTTTTGTTTTTTGTTTTTTTTAAAGATTTTATTTATTTACTTGACAGAGACAGAGATCACAAGTAGGCAGAGAGGCAGGCAGAGAGAGAGGAGGAAGCAGGCTCCCTGCTGAGCAGAGAGCCAGATGTGGGGCTCGATCCCAGGACCCTGAGATCATGACCTGAGCGGAGGGCAGAGGCTTTAACCCACTGAGCCACCAAGGTGCCCCCTAATGTTCCATCGTTTTAAGTTACCCAGTATGTGGTACTCTGGCAGCCCTAAGAAACTAAAATGCTGACCAAATGACCATATCTTTCTGTCCCCTTTCTTATTATACCTACAGAATAGGACTAATTCTTGCTCTCAGTAGCTTTGAGATTTTTGATGGAAATTTTAATATAATTAATAATTTTATGGTATTTTACATAGTATTTTTATGTTAAACTAATATATATTTGGCTGGGGAGATGCTTCCAGGACAAAGAGAGACATTCTCTCTATAGGTGCTCTCCTGTGCTGCTCCCTCCAGGATTGGAGATCCTGCCAGGAGAACCCAGGCATCACGGAAACCATCTGTACATGCTGCTGATACTTACCTCCTATTACCTCAGAATAAAAATAGGTCTTTTAAGTAATTTGAGCTCTCAGGGCTGCTGTGGAAAATCATCAGAGGTAGCATTATTATCTCCTTTGTCTCCTTTTTTTTTTTTTAAAGATATTATTTATTTACTTGACACAAAGAGAGGGAACACAAGCAGGGGGAGTGGGAGAGGGAGAAGCAGGCTTCCCACCAAGCAGGGAGCCCGATGTGGGGGTTCGATCCTAGGACCCTGGGATCATGACCTGAGCCGAAGGCAGATGCTTAACGACTGAGCCACCCAGGCGCCCCCCGCCCCCTTTTTAAAAAATGGACTTTCCTCAGAACTTGTTCGTA